TACCGGAAGAACATTTCTAGCCTCTCAACGCCACCAATCCACTACGCCATCCAACACACCTCTCCAAACGGCGCCTGGCATCGGATCGAGAGAGGCGAGATCAAGCTAGACGCAAACTTCTTCGCGGAATTCAACCGCGATTTCCAACATCAGCATCTATGGGAGACTTTCCATGAGCAACTGAAGAAGAAGAAACCCCAGACCTCGTCGCCATCGTCCACGACGTCTTCCGCCCGTCTTCCACTCCCCAAGGTCGATGCGGAGTATATGTACATATATACTTATATCTATATAAGGATGGGGGCAATTTTAGCTGAGGACAAAGTGGGGTTGAACATTGCAAGAAATGCTAGTTATAGCAATGAAATTAGATATGCAGTGTGGCATGCACGATGAGTCAAGTACTTCCTGGTACATATGCTAAGTACATACGACCATAGGAGGTGGAAAACAGGGCTTCCCGTCCGCTCAGCCGTACTTAAGGCACCTGCCGGCCGGCTAGTAGTTGGGTGGGTGACCACCAGCGAATCCCGGCTGTTGTATGTTTTTTTGACTACTTTGTGGATCGTGGCGGGCCTTAGGTAAAGATTTGGATGTATGACAACCACATACGACCATAGGAAGTAGAAAATAGGGTTTCCCGTCCGCTCAGCCGTACTCAAGCTACTTGCCGGCTGGCTAGTAGTTGGGTGGGTGACCACCAGCGAATCCCAGCTGTTGTATGTTTTTTTTTTGAGCTCGTCGTTGGTAGCTTTTTGGACAGGCGCAGTGGACTTCAGTTGGAGCCGGACATCAAGCACATACGACTATAGGAAGCAGACAACAGGGCTTCCGGTCCGCTCAGCCATACTTAAGCTTATCTCGAATTCCACTCGGGGAATTTTATGACCACCCTAGGCAGTGGCGGGCATTGCAATATCTACCGGAATCGCTCTCCCCAAGGAAGTTTCCAGTGGCTAATACGGAGTGCTCCAGACTTATTCCTGAGAATAAGACCAGTACTCCACAAGCAAGCCTCATCTTTCTTATTCACCGAATGAGTGTGTGCTCGAAAGACACTAACTCACATGCTTGCAAGCAACGCATAAAAGATGGCCACCGTGTGAATCTCTTAAGAGAGCCCTAGTAGCAATCTTGTAAGTTGTGCGCACTCATAAAGCCTGTCAGAACAACAATAAGGTTACTTTTACCTTCCACATATTCCATTTGTGGGTGTCATTGTCACACTGCCGCGAAACACAATCCTCACATAATTAGTTAAGAGAAGACGACAGATTATCATCCTCAGCTGTCTAGCTGCAAAGATTACTCACTCATGTCTTAATCAATTTGTTTACTGGGAGAATGTGTTGACTATTAGCCAAATGCACATCTGGAGATTGAAAACCAGGATTTTGTGCTAACCTGATTTTAAAAAAAAAAAAAAGATATTTTGCTGGCTCAACCATGCCAAGCCCAATGAGACGAAGACCCTGTCGCGATAAACCAAAGATCACAACAAAGATAAATAGCTGAAGCTAATATGGAGAGTACAAGTAACCTTTTAGCATCACTTTCTCATTTGAGAGTTAACCTGCTTCCGCCACACTTTGGCTCTAGCTAGCCTATTCAAAAATTCATGTCTGTTTGTTGAGTATAACAGCTAATAGTAGCTCAATGTTGCAAATTACTTGAAAACTCCATTTTTCCACCCGTCGAAACCCACAAGTTTCAACCATTTCATGAGGATATGGGAAACGATGGACACTCCCATTGACCTAGGTGCATTCACATTTATACGGCCGGGTTACCAGCCAATGCATCTTCAATGTCAAGCTTAATATCAAGCCTGTTGTTTTCCACCTTTTGGCAACTTCTTCCTCATGACTTACCGCCTCTAGAAAATGATATCAAGTTGACTTACCCATCCTGTACTACGTAGACTTTTCAGCTTTGGACTCGTAGCGAATATAACTTGTTGAAACTTGAGACTCTATTATAGCTCCCGTGCAACTAAGTTCTTCGAATTCTCCATCTGTAGATCAAATGCACGTTGAACTTGATGCCCACTTCTGACCGCCTATCTAGATCTCTTACAGGTCAATCTCGACTGTACTCATCCATTCAATTTAATCCAGGCAGCCCTAAAAATATGCTCTCCTTTTCCCCTCCTGCAACCCCGCTCTCCTGGAGGGGTTTTTCTGTGTAGCTTGAGCTATTCAGTTGATATCCTCTTTCAACCCTCATCAGCTCCTATATTTTCCTTTTTCATTTTTGCTGTAAACATAACTGCCGGGACTCCCTCTTGACCATTGGCGATGAATATTTATTTTTTCACATCATCAGTGCATTTTCTGAACCTGGGTCAGGGCTGCTTACTTTCAGCGTAAGCTAGACGGACAAGGATGCGCAAAAATATGAACAGAGGCTGGGTAGCAAGTCAGTGGACCCCAAAAGTTGTAGGGTAAAGCTTCACTTTCCAAGGCACAATGTCGACCTGGCAGTGGAGATTCAGTAGACACACATCAAACACAGACATGCATCAGATGACAACTAATCAAGGTCTGAGCCCTCAAGGCTCGTAAGGGTTATGAAAATGAGACCAAGCATCTCTATTGTGAGTTGATACAATGAAATTCTCACACATTTTGGGATGTGAACAGCAATCAACACTTTCTGCAGGGATATATCTCAGATTGTTTGACACCACAATAAATGGCCTATTAATATTCTTGAAATCATCCACTTCAAGAAACCACCAGGTGTGGTGGTAGGTTTGACATGGCCAATTGGATGAAATTAGCTCATTGTGATGAGGCTTGGGAGTGTTGCTCAGCTATTAACTCCAACAAACTACTGCATGATATGTTCGGGTATCAATGTGTTTCTTCAGTGTCGCGAGAACATGGATGACTGTTGGAGTGAAAATATCATGCCAAAGTCTTGAGTCGCGCCATCGGTACAGGGAGCTCAACAGGTGTGGAATTCAATTGCCGTTGCAGTTGCATAGTAAGGATTAATATTTCTGCCTCCTCAGAATGACCAATAAAATTCTTTTGACGAGGGATAGTGTTCTGCAGGATATGATAGCAAATCATCATGGTGGGTTGCAGGCAGAGGAGAGGTATTTTACCCTGATCGCCATAGACTATGTGGCCGAAATGCTAGGGACACTGCTAAGGATGCTGCTGGGAGAGAACCGCTACCAGCTCCTTAAGTCAGTTTCAACCCCGAGCTTTTCTTGGTAAATTTCCCATATATCTATTGAAAGAAATCCGTACCCTAGATTCAGTCAAGCAGCTATAATTTACACAGTATCTCTGATTCAATCGCAGAAGCATGCATCTCCCAACCAAAATTTAGACTTTTAGGCTGCCGTTGTGGGGCAACCTTAAAACTTAAAACTGAAGTTACTGAACTGTTCAAGTTCTCCTTGGCATATGATAGAAACGAATTTTCCTGTTCAAAATGCTAGGCAAGGCTGCCCTCGTGTTAGACATTAGGCTTTTTATACATCTTCACGTTCTCATTTTGGAGCAAGAGGAAACATACTGTCGGTCTCTTTCAGTCCTTTATACGAAAGCCAATTGATTGGCTCGCTCGACCAATACAAAAGACTCCTTGTTCATTAGCTCGAAATTTCTTGGACCTCGGGCTGTGTTTCCGGTGGGACCCAAGCCTGCAGTATCTCCGCAAAAAGACTTCCTCAGCCCCTTCTCTGGGTGCTCGCTGACCAGTTGGTCGATGAGATGGCCTGTGGCCTGCAAGTCAACCTGATCCATTTTACCGAGGGTGCCAGTGGAACCATATCAGGAGGGGAGAATCTCAGAATCTGGCAGAGTGTGGAATACAGACAGGCTTCTTACAATGTTAAAAAGAGGGAAGGACCCCGAATTATTTTCTGTTTTCATTCAGAATTGATACTTTTATCACAACAGGCTAATACCATACCTATTTCAGAACAGACCCTGTCCATACCCTATTCAACTTTTTCCAAAGTCCAGCCATGTCTCTCGGTATTTATTTCACTGGCGATAACAATGTCAAAAATGACCTCGGCCCTGAGGTGAAAAGCATCAGTAGAGATCCCTACAGGTGAACAGAGGATCTTAAAGGGCAGATCTGAGTGATGCATTGTCACATACAATGATTAAACCAGAAAGCGGTTTGATGCAAAAACTGGTTATCAGTTCAAGCAATTAGTTGACGTTACTATTACTCGTCAGTATCTCACCTTTTCTCAGCTGACTGGATCTGACTGATATCGTATGAAGAGTATGGTAACGATATCCGAGCAAAATTCCCGTCAGGAGTTGCCGGTGAATGGAAGCTTGTGGTGTAAATAGGCATGTAAGTGTATAACGAGCTACATATAATATGAGGTTGCTAATTTTTTCAACATCAGTCAAGGACAACTGTCAGGCATAAAAAAGTCACTTCAAAAGGTTACCAGATCTTGCGTGCTCAATCACGCTGAAAATAACAAAGGATTTGAACACAACTTGTGCCAGAATGTCAAGAGTCATGTCCGGGACTTTGCTTCAACTTCCTCTTGATGTTCGCTAATTTACCCTATGTTATCTCAATGTTGAAAACATCCCTTGTGACCTTCGACTGGTAGACTTATAAATGATCCTCGTAGCTCGATCAGTATAGAGGATAGTAGCCAGGATATGTATAAGTTGTCTACATACTTTAAGTCGTCCCAGAAAGCTTAGTCCATGCTTCCTGGAGAGAATCGCTAATGCCCATAACCATGCTTTTTATACATGTAGGATGGGGCTACGTGTGACCCCGGAGCCCCGTGAATACGGAATTGCGCATTGGCTGCGCGTCGGTGACCAACTGTCTGGATGTGATTGGAAATTTTGACAGTGAACTGTTGGGCTTGGACACCCCGTTGCTATATAATTTCGTCTTTGCCCCCTCGTGCATGACCTTGATGAGGGAAACCAGAAATTTTTGGTGGTTTACTCTACATAACATTTGGCGTATCAAGCTCATCGTTCTCTACCTCCAGAATGGCGTACAGTATCAGTTTCAGCATCGTCGATAGCACCGGTGACGAATTCAACGTTGTCAAGGAATCAGGCTGGCATTATGAGGGAACGGCGCACAATGGAAGAAATCTAGAGCCGGCTATATCCTATATATGGGAGGTAGGGGTACTTCTGGAATGCTACGATTCGAGTCGTCGACTGAAGAGACGTTCTTATTAGCTATGGGTATTCACAGTTACAAGAGGTGATGCGATCTTGTTGTCGATCTTGAAGATGATGCGACCGCCAAAGATTTTCATCCAAGATACTATACTGGGGGCGGAGCGCAACAGCTTAGGGATCAATCCCCTAATTGCAAGGCGACCATCAGTGATGGCACTGTTATTAAACTCAATTTCTCTGTGACTGAAGGTAACCGGCTGCGCGCCGACCTCAAAATTGGTGAAGGCCCAATCCTCTTCTCCGGGCAAAACCATGTCAAAAACGACCTCGGCCCTGATGTGAAAAGTATCACAGTTTATTTCATCGAGAGAACTCCGGTGGAAATACCTACAGGTGCAGTTAAGATCTTGAAAGGCAGATCTAATCAGTGCATTGTCAAGTATAACAACGGAACAAGAAGGCGGTGTGACATAAGCATTGGCTATCAGTTCAAGGAGTTTGTTGATGTCAATATTACTCGTTAGTATTTTGCCGCATCTCCTTTCAGTTGACCAAATCATACTGATGATATGTGAAGCGTATGGTAATGATATCCGAGCGAAATCCCCTGCAGGAATTGGTGGTGAATGGAAACTTGTGGTGTAATATAAGCATATCATAAAACTATAAATAGTTGTGAGGTTGCTAATTTTTCTAGCATCGGTCACTAGTCAAGTATAATTGCTTCAAATGGATACAAGAGTCAAGACCTTGCGTGCTCAGCCACATTGAAAAGAACAAACAGAGGATCAGAAAACAAATTGTTCTAGAATGTCAAGCACATCTCTCTTGATTTACACTCGCAAGCTGTTGTAAAGTTGACCAGCTTGAGACAATAGATGGATCACTTTTGCCTGTGCCAAATTTCTGCCATCTCTCGTACAACCTTGCCGCCAATTGTCATTCATTATGTTATTGTCATTCGAGTAGGTGGCAGGGACAACCTCCAGCGCATGGACAGTCCAAAGTCCGTGGTGGATCTCTTTTCCAGCGATTGATATAGAATCGCAATTCGACCAACAAAAATTAGAGAGAATTACCTCGCCGTATCCCAACACATCAATAAATGCGCGAATGTACTTTTGATGCAACGCAACCTCTGAGAGTCGGATGAATTCATGCGTTGTCGGATTTCTGAAACCATTTCTTACTGCGTGGATAGAAATTGGACACGTCTTGATTCACCAACTGAGCTATCTCTGCCGGGATCGAGAGCAAGACGGAACAGAATGTGTGGGAATCCTGTCGTAGCCTGACTTATCCATGTGTATCGAGCATCAGAAATCTCATATAGATTGTCAGGCCATTCGTTTTCATTTTGAGACAGCAACCCGTTGGGGATACTCGATATTCCTCTTTGTATTCCATCACTCACACAAACCACAGGATTTCCAGGCCAGGAATTCAAGCAGCCCGCAAAATGTCTTGGGACTACAGGCCTTGCTGGCTGAAGGTTCAGATGGCTCACTGGGTGTAGGTCAGCGGCCAGAGGAAAGGAACAAAGCCATCTTCGTGCATCGCCATTTCCATTCGATTTCCAGTCCAGTGCAGACTCGCCAAATTTTCTTGTGACGAGAAAGCGCCGGTCGCACAGGGTATATGTGAGCTGCCCTTAATGTGACTGAAGCTGGGATGAAGGCGGGCGAATCGACCAGAAGTGGACCAAAAAAAGGTGGCACGACGAGACTCAGGGCACGGGTGAGCACGACCTTAGTATATCTGGATGCTTTTGTTGATTTTTCTTTTCTTTTTTTCCAGTAACTTTTCTGGGCTTCATCATATTCGAATGAAATTCTGAATGAGCGGCAAGCATATACGACTAAGGGGAGTGGACATACAAAGAGGCCATACTCATGTGTACGGAGGAGTGTGGCATGTCATATTTCCTAGCAGCCCAATGCGCATCGACCAGGTGGCTGAGAAAGCGTGTTTGTCAATGAGCATGCCTCCGAATAAGATCAATGAATTCAGGATAAGAGAGCTATGATGCCTCTTTTGTTGTTCTTCGTCCACGCAAAATTGATTGGGCGGAAAGCCATGCAGGTGTAACTTATCACAGCCTAGTTATACGCCCTCAACATATCACAGTCGAAGGAGTTTGTCAGAAAGCCTTTAATCCCGGTAAAAGTTAACGGGACATAAGAATCAAAATGCGAAGGTACCATTCAAGGCCTATACATACATAGTATACGCCTGTACAGTAAAAGGAAATATTAGTATTAAATGAGGATCTAAGACATGCAAGCCAGGGATGTGATATATATGAAGCACATGTCCTCAACCCATTGGGCTTGGAAAGAGAAAGAAAACAGGAAAGTTAAAGGGAAAAGTCATCTTGAAGGAAACTCTCTAAAAGGGTCAGCTCAGAATCATCCACTATCTCGTCATGAATCTCATAATCGGATCACTCTGGTTTCCTTCCCACCATCAAGTACATGGGAGTGAAGAGCTTCATCTCACCACCCTTGACCAAGCAGTCGGCAGCATATGCTAAGCTGTCTGCTGTCTTCTGTGAACCCTTTGGGAACAAACCAATCGTCTCCATACCACCCATAAACTTATGAACCAAACCACGTCCCCACCATGTCATACGGGCAATGGTGAGTACATCCCAAAGGGAGGACATATGCTTCCAAGAACCTGCCAGAGGATAGTACCATGGAATATCATCCCCACGGTCTGCTAGATCCTCAGCTTTGATGAGTTCGAAACCGGCGGCCTTAAAGGCATCAAGGGCTTCGGTTGCCCTGACCATGTTCGAAATTCCATCTCCTTGTTCGATACCAAGTCTGATCTCACGGTGGACGGGGTTGTTGTTATCATAAGCGTCGGTCATGACCCATTCGTATACACCAAAAACACCGCCGGGTTTTAATGAGTTGTAAATCTGTCTGTAGACGCCCTCAAGCGAAGGAGCGTGAACTGTAGCCTCAATGGCATATGCAGCATCAAATGTATTTGGTTCAAAGGACATTTGCATAAAGTCACCCTTTGTGAAGCGGAGCTGCTTTGACAAACCTTCCTTCGCCGCATATCGAGTTGCGCGTTCAATTTGATAGTCGTTGTTATTTAAACCAACAATATTGACACCGGCAAATTTGGCAATTTCTCTTGCGGGGCCACCAACGCCGCAGCCGACATCAAGAACCATCTGGCCCTCCTGGAGGCCGATGGAGTGTGCGAGATAATGTTCGTGTCGAGCAATAGCCTGACGGAAAGGTTCGCCATACGCGAAACGACAGAAGTGGAAAGAACCGCCCCATCCATATTCGTACATGTCCGTCGCCAGATTGTAGTAACTTGAAGCAGCAATCAGTTAGCCAACGTACCAACCTATCACTCCTTGGCGGCGATGGAACAGAAAGGGAGTTCAAGCTCGGGAGCTAGGCATTCTAGGCATCAACTTACTGTCTTGTTAAAGTGGCATATTCCGCTCTTCTGGCCTACCGATTACGGAAGTTAGAAACGTCCCCTGGAGATAGGGCGTCGTAGGAACGGAGCTTACTTCTCTGATCTCTTCTGTCTCGTCTGCAGAGGGTTTCTTGTCCCAATGCTTGAAATATTCATCCAAAGCAGCTTCTTGCGCCGCCTTATCCTTGCTCATCATTGCTCGCAAGCCACCTCGGGCCTTGGCCGAGTCGCCATGAAGAGCCTTGTTAAACGCTGCATCACGAGCGTGATCTTCTCGTTCGAGCTTTGTTGAGGCCATTTCGGCAGGTTTGTGAGAGAGAATCGGGGTTTTAATGGAATAAAATAAATCTAGTGTTGTTTCAAAAAATGTAAATTGGGAGAAAAGAAGATTGGAATGGGAGATAAAATGCCCGCTCAATTGAGACGAAAAGGCGGCAATCGGTTCAAAAACAAAGGTTCCTGTGTCTGGGTATTCGTAAGGTGAGGAGGATTATGGAGTACTTATGAAGAGTCTCGAAAAAAAAAGTTGGAAGTTTCAGCACAGGGGGGCGAAGAATCTTTGTGGAGAGAGTGCTGGGCTGGCGATAGCGGACTCCAGGGGTAAACTGTGGCTTGGCTCGAAGCTCTCCGCCCAGCTCCCAAATTAAGTTGCGGCTTTGCACCAATCACGCGCTGTTGTGGCGGAATCCCACCCAACGCAATACCACCATTCCTAATTGAGAAAGGTTAATACAAATATTACGGGACGGAATTTCGAATTTCCATCGACTAAACCAGATCACGCCACATTCACGTGCAGCGGTTACGTAAGTTACTCGTTCCAAAGGTCTGTGTTACATAATCGAGCTTTGGTTCTTGGCAGATGGGTATTTTCATCATGACGGCAACAAAACGCAGCCTCTCCAGGTGGTCGGAAGCTCCAACATTCACCCCAGAACCGCGGTGAAGATGCCTCCACAAATAAAGCAAGATATCAATCGGTCTGGCTGGGAAACAACGGATTTCCCCTCCGTTTGCGAACAATGTTTACCCGATAATCCTTACGTCCAGATGCTCAAAGAAGACTATGCCGCGGAATGCAAGATATGTACGCGCCCCATGACAGTGTTTCGATGGAAGGCCGATCGAACCGCACGAACAAAGGCTACAAATATCTGTTTGACATGCGCGCGACTTAAGAACTGCTGCCAGTGCTGCATGCTCGATCTGTCGTTCGGTCTTCCGATCGTGGTACGTGATGCGGCGTTAAAGATGGTTGCGCCTGGCCCGCAGAGTTCGATAAACAGAGAATATTATGCGCAGGAGCACGAAAAAGAGCTTGAAGAAGGCCGTGGTGCGGTAGAAGAATACGAGAAAACCGATGAAAAGGCCCGCGAACTGTTACGGAGATTGGCAAGGAGTGAACCATATTACAAGAGACAACGTCGGCTGGAGGCGAGCGGGGCCACGGAGGGCGGACAAACAGGACAAAAGCAAATAGGATATGGATCGGGCCCTGGGCCTATTAGAACAAGCGACACTCGTCAAGGAGGCCACCCACCCGGACGTGGAAGAGGAAATGCGGGTCGCGGGCGTGGTGGCCGAGTGTTCCCAAGCGCCGCTCAGCTACCACCTGGACCACAAGATATACTCCCCCCAGCAGACCCGAACATCACATCCCTTTTCCTTAGCGGTGTCGAAGATGATCTGCCAGAACATGCGATCCGAAGTTTCTTCACCCCTTTTGGCATCATTCGCTCCCTTATTTGCTCACATCGATCTCACTGCGCCTTCGTTAACTATGCCACACGAGAAGCTGCAGAAGCTGCAGCCGCTCATTGCCAAGGAAAAGCAGTCATTCAAGGATGCCCGTTAAGAGTGAAGTGGGGTAAACCACGACCTCTAGATAGTATGGAACGGGAAGAGAGGATGCAATATGCGCGGGAAGGTAGACAGACGGCGGCTGCCGCCAAAGCTGCTGGTGGTGGGCAGAGGGCTGTCGAAGGTGCGCCAGTCAGCGGTGATTTGCATGATGCTGCGGGATCAGGAGATAGACCTACCTACGCCGTGGCTCCTCCTCCCGGAAAAGAAGAGGTTCAGTATGCCAGTATGGCAGGCGACTGATGATATGGCTGAGTTTTGGTTCTCATACGACTTGGCGTTATGGTTTGAAATGCATGTAGATTACACCAGGCGGCTTTCTTTTCTATATTTATTATATAAGTAACCAAAGGGGGGATTATCCGCATTCCCGGTATTTATGGTATCAAACAAAAAAAGACAAAGCCCACAGTATATAACATTTGCCAAAAGTCCCATGCTAGAACGCCGTTCCAATGCCCCTGCAATCGTATTTTGATCTCTATTTTCGTTGCGCAATTGCACTTGTTTTTAAATGTTTTCTACTACTTCGAGCAGGGCTTCACCTTCACCTTCTCTTTTCCAGCCGTCTTGACAGTATCGTTATCCCCACGCTCAATATGCTCATGTATCCTCAAAGCTATTGTCAAATCAGCGCCAACGCCTGCCATATTCCGGAACTAAATTTGTTCCGGCGAGGGAGGAAACCCACAGTAACGATCTACGGTCTCCCCCTTCTCATTCGTTGTTTCAACTTTTTCTCCCTGCACTATGTTTGTTTTCAAAATATGCGCTACTTCCAGCGCATTTTGGATCAGCGCGGGTGTGCCCTCTCCCAATTGGCGGTTCATGTCGAATTGCCTCCGGGCTTCGGTACGAGCGGCGTGGTACGTTCGGAAGTCACCTGTATGGGATCATTGTGAGTTTAAGAGCCCAGGCGAGAGGGTTTGAGCTTTATGGTACCTTCGAATGCGATGCGCATTGCGCGAAGAAGCTGGCGGTAAGCATTCATCCCGTTCACTGAGGATGCCATTTTGGAAGAAACGATTCGTTTGCAGGGGAAGGGAGATTGTGGCACGGTGGTAAAAGTTGAGTGGTAAATATAAATTCAATATAAGAAGCAGCAAGTCCTTATTCGGCGAATAGCACTGTGGATTTTCTCTTCAGAATAGTATCAGGACTTGACGATTCGAATCGCAAAATCCGGCGGAGCCGTCCCAGACAGGCTCGAATGAAGCTTGTCCCAAAATAGTCTAGTGCCGTCAAGCCGAGCTCCCTTGGAAAAAAAAAAAATATTCCGCAAAAATTGTTTGTTGAACTCAGCGCGACGCCCAACCAAATCTTCATAAGTACGGTTGTCGAAATAGTTATCGACATGGCGACTCCCGAAATTGTGCATCTCCCATTGCCTCACTTGCCTGATGGCTGGGATGGTGGTGAGAAGGGGTTCAAAGTCTTGGGAAGTTTGTCTGCTGCAAACCAACGGACCGTTGAGCCCGTTGGGCCACATTTTTTAGCTCATGCTCGGAGAGTGCGTTCTTCGACCCGAGCCTTTACGTCTTGCGATAATGTTCTGAGAACAAACTAACATTCTGGATCACTAGAAACGCCATAATCGCACTTTCTCCGAAGATGACCGCATCCTCGCGCAGGAAAATGTGAAGAAGGTTGAGGATGAAGACGATGGCGAGATCTCCGAGCCCGAAGACCCTATCATGCTCCAGAGGGATGCAAAGGACTGGAAGGTATGGACTCTTCGATCACACTTCTCAAAATTGCCGATGATATACTTACAACCTAACAGGGACAAGATCACTACGCAGTCCTCGGCTTAAGTAAATACCGCTACAAGGCCACCAATGAGCAAATCAAGCGTGCCCACCGCAAGAAGGTCCTCCGTCATCATCCTGACAAGAAGGCTGCTTCAGGTGACTCAGATGAGAATGACAACTTCTTCAAATGCATCCAGAAGGCCACAGAGATCCTCCTTGACCCGGTGCGCCGTCGACAATGGGATTCGGTCGATGAGTTGGCCAATGTTTCACCACCAGGCCCTAAGAAGAAGGGCGATTTCTTCAAACTCTGGTCCCCTTATTTCGAATCTGAAGCCCGATTTTCCAAGATCACACCAGTTCCTATGCTGGGCGACGAGAATAGTACAAAGGAAGAAGTTGAGGAGTTTTATAATTTCTGGTACAACTTCGACAGCTGGAGATCATTTGAATATGAAGACGAAGATGTCCCCGATGATAATGAAAACCGTGATCATAAACGCCACATTGAACGCAAGAATGCTAACGCTAGGCGGAAGAAGAAGACGGAAGATACTGCCCGTCTACGAAAAACAGTAGACGATGCTCTTGCAGCCGATGCTCGTATCAAGAAATTCCGTCGAGAAGAGCATGCAAACAAGAACAAGCGCAGACTAGAAAGGGAAGCTGAGGCCAAACGTCTTGCTGAGGAGAAGGAGAAAGCTAGGCTGGAAGAGGAGCGGCTGAAGAAAGAACGTGAAGAAGCCGCCAAGGCCGAAAAGGCTGAAGGGAAGAAAGCCAAGGAAGCTGCCAAGAATGCTGCGAAGAAGAACAAGCGTGTGCTGAAAGGAAGTGTGAAGGACGTCAATTACTTTGTGGAGTCTGGTGACGCGTCTGTGGCACAGATTGATAGTGTGCTTGGGGATGTGGAACAGATTATGAGCCAAATTAATAATGAGGAGCTTGCTGCGCTCGCTGGAAAGCTTGGCAAAGCCGGCAAGGATGCCGCTGCGGTCAAGGCGGTGTATGCCGAGGAGGCAGCGAGATTGGTCGGAGACGGAAAGATAAAAGATACAGATATCAAGATCTTCAGAACTTAAAAGAAAATTGGCTAGGGCCAAGTCATGTGTGATGAGGCAGAGCTAGAATCTTCAAAAATGTTTTTCACCTTTCTTCGAAATCCTTGCGTACTCCGTACATTTCAGAAGAATTCTTGATGGCGATGAATGACGTCCTATGCTGAAGATCATTTGATATTCTGCTGATCGATCGCAACTATCTTGTACCGAGCGAGAGTCTCTCCTGATGTGCACCCCACTGATCATCGTAGTGTCAGTCATCGTCATTCGATCTCTGTATCAAACCACGGGGAATCTTACTAACCCGCTGTTTCTGCTTCTTAGCTTTACGCTCATACAAACCCTACAACATGTGAACGCACGAGTCAGCAAGAAAAAACCCAGACTTGGATAGACACGCCCCTCGTACATGTAACCACGGACTCTTTCCGTTTTCTGCAGATTCCCACAATCCTCAAGTATCCAGCGCGATTTGCAACGTAAAATGTGTCGTTATGTAGTCACGACCCCCAGGGATTCGCATGTGTGGAAAACACTTTAATTCCCTTGGCATATTGAGAGACACAGATTTTATGTTTCATGGCCCGTTGGCCTAGGGTGATAAGAAAACGAAGTGGTATGAGAAGGGAGATCATATGCCAGACCCTAGTCGATATTCCAATACTCTTGAGCTAGGCTGCATATCGCAACGGCCGATACCGATCTCAGAACCCTACCACGGCAACGTTAATATAAACTAATGAGTCGGGCGAAATCCAAGGGCAGAGAGAGATATGCGCGTATTTAGGCTAAAGTTAGGTATAATAATAATTATGTATACGGAACATATACACACGGGTTTTGCGAGGAGGCGAAGAGTGTGGGGATCTAATGCAGTGATGCGCAAGCGACGGTGATCTGCAGATTGAGGTGATGGAGACAGTGGTGGATGTGTCACTGCTGTAACACCCTGTTTCAGTGGCAAAAAGGCTCACTGGCAGAAAACTTAAGAACGCTCGGTTTGTTTCGACATATTTTGGAGGATATATGCGTGCATGCTTGAAGGTTGGACATTCTATCTTCACGACAGAACAGAGATCCTTGGGGTGTAACGACACTCGAGGGTCTAGATCCTCTAGCATTGAAATAATAGCAATGGCCTGGCGGTGAAGCCGCAACATGATGCTAGACCCACCGGCGCACGTTCCGCGATTCAGTCTCAGCGATCACGGGCCCGGGTATCAGAGGAGACGGTGGAGACGCGGGCGACGCCAATCGGAATGTCGGGTCCATTTAGACGCGCGGGTTTTCTGGCCAATGGGAAAGGAGCCGATTAAGCGCCAAGCTTTTGGGCTCAAGAGCCGCTCTAGCCCTCTTGGGACTAGCATTGTCTTGAGGTACCCACGTGCTCAGGAACCCTCATAAATTTTCACTTCGGATTTAGCATCCCAGTTTGATGCGACAATCCTGAATCACGGCGCAACGGGAAGAAAGTTTCATGAAGAGCGAACGGGAGCAGCACACGTATAACGAAAGAACTAAAAGCAAGCCTTTACGGCTACAAGGGATATCATTTCCTGTTTCGGGCTGGGTGTTGTTTCCGTCTCGGATCTGCTCTTCCTCTTTCTCCGACCCTGAGCTGAAGCCAAGCGAGAAATCCCCAAGGCAAGGCGTCTTGCATCTTCATCACCAGACATAGGGACGCCTTTGGGGGCCAATAACGATTCATGGCTTGCGGCAGACTTCTTGGTTTGACTTCAAATCAAATTGGCAGTTCGAGGACACTCATCACATGAACAGGTGCTCCGGTAATGTACTGTAACGAACGGAAAGGCAGATCTAGACTTGTAATTTTTATTGGTTTTCTTCTTTTTCCCCTTTGCAAAGTCGAAGCTTATATTGGCTTAAAGCCGGCCCTAAACCCTAAGAGTCCTTAGCCCCTGCGCAATTTAGCTTGCTGTTTGGCTTATTCCAAGCAGCAAAGTAGCCAGGATGCGCCCGCGTCTTCCACCGATAAGACCCCGCAGAATTGAGAGTAGAATCATACTCCATCACCATTTCCACACCGACAGGCCACCAGCCCTGTCTCTAGGCACTCGCTACGAGCCAGGCATCGTATGCGCAAGTATTGTACATGTTCAGACATGTAAACTGACAAGTGTGACGATGGTTTCCAACGGTTCTCGAAGCCCCGTTTTCATGGTTTTGCTCCACTCCTACTAAGACGAGTGGGGCCAACCAGAACCGGTATTTGGTCATGCGCTCGTACTCCGTATTGTAAAGTAAGTTTTGATTTGCTCCCTTCGCTTCCATCCCAACCCTCCACAGCAACAGCCAGCGGTGATGTTTAAAGCAGCAAAGAATATTCCGTATGCTGGCCAAAATTACCCAGATGAGGGCGAAAAGCCAGGAGAATGGCTTCCTTGCTGCTTATCATGGAATACGGGGTTTCCGACGTCGGCGATCTGACTATGTTGGATCGACCCATCACGCAATTGGGCGGAGAAATCAACTGCTCCCGCCGTCCCTCCTTTGCCACTTGCCGAAGTTTCCAAGGATTGAATTGCATGGATCAACTGTTACTAGCTTGGGAATGGGAGAGCAAGCTCAGATGCTTGGCTCTGGTTCTCCTCGATTCGCATATAATCCCCTCCCATCTCCCGCATTCTTCCCCGTCTTTTGTTTCTCTCCTCTGTCAGCATCCTGCGCTATCTCTCCACTATCGTTCGTCCAAGCCCTGAGACACCTTGTTTGACAGCCTGGCCTCTGCCTTGTCTCTTCTTGAAGCTTTAGCGATTCTGATATATTTTTTTCTTATTCTGTACCGCCGTTCGAACGCCTGTTGTGCCTCTTTCGAAGCATCGCCACCTGAATATCATACTCAACTAACCCAAGAGGAAGAAGAAAGCAATCACGATGGCCACCACAAAAAAGCCTAACATCCTCTACATTATGGCAGACCAGATGGCTGCTCCGCTCCTTTCCATTTACGACCGTTCCTCCCTAATTAAGACCCCTAATATTGAGAAACTTGCAGAGTCTGGAGTTGTCTTTGAATCTGCATATTGCAACTCTCCACTCTGTGCCCCCTCACGCTTCACTATGGTCAGCGGGCAGCTGCCTTCGCGCATTGGCGGCTATGATAATGCTAGTGACCTTCCTGCTGATACGCCTACATACGCACACTATCTGCGTGCTCAAGGCTACCATACGGCACTCTCTGGAAAGATGCACTTTGCGGGTCCAGACCAACTGCATGGCTATGAAGAACGCCTAACCAGCGACATCTACCCGGGTGATTACGGGTGGACTGTGGATTGGGATCAGCCGGTGAGTGAGAATACAAAAGGCAGTGAAGTAATATGAAAAACTCCGATGTAATCCTTCGTTTCCTTTCTTGTAATTTTTTATTATGCCTGTGAAAATGTGTGGTTGGAACATCATGCTAAAGGTAATGTGAGTAGGAGCTTCGCAAAGATTGGTATCATGACATGTCGTCCGTGATGGAGGCAGGGCCGTGCGTCCGGAGCAACCAACTCGATTTCGACGATGAGGTTGTTCATCGGGCTTCGCAATACTTGTATGACCATGTCCGATATCGTACGGGTCAGCCCTTCTGCCTTACTGTCTCCATGACGCATCCCCATGATCCTTACACCATGACCAGGGATTATTGGGATATGTACGAGGACGTTGAGATCCCTCTTCCCAAGACCTCTGCGGTTTCCCAGGACAAGCTTGATCCTCATTCACAGCGCGTGCTGAAGATTATTGATTTATGGGGCAAGGAGATCCCTGAGGAGCGTATCAAGGCTGCTCGTCGTGCTTATTTTGCTGCTTGTACCTATGTGGATACGCAAATAGGCAGGCTTATGAACGTTCTGAAGAATTGCGGATTGGCGGATGATACAATTGTTGTATTTACTGGCGACCATGGTGACATGCTGGGGGAGAAGGGGCTGTGGTATAAGATGGTGTGGTATGAAATGTCTGCAAGAGTGCCAATGATTGTACATGCACCTGCGAAATACCAGCCGAAACGGGTCAAGGAGAATGTATCTACTATGGATCTACTACCCACATTCGTTGCAATGAGTGGTAGCTCTGTTGACCCTTCTTTGCCCCTTGATGGTGTCTCTTTGATGCCTTATCTCGATGAGCGCTCTAGTGGTGAGAAGACCGACACAGTATTGGGAGAATACATGGCAGAAGGTACACTGGCTCCGGTAGTTATGATCCGCCGCGGCCCATGGAAATTCATCTACTCACCCATCGATCCCCCGATGCTTTTCAATGTGGAAGCAGACCCCACCGAGTCCATTAACCTCGCCGAAGGAATCCCACTGCCATCACATCATGTGGTCGCCAAAGAAAGCCCCCAAGCAGCAGTTTCGAACCCCACTGGCCCGGTTCCTCTTCCAACACCAGTCACCTCTCCTAGCCCTGAAGCACTCCCGGTCCCATTTTTCTCTCAAGCAAACACTTCAAACCCCTCCATCTTCACACCGCCCCGCAGCCCAAGCCCCAATAAGGCTACTACCGTTATTAACGGTGCTAAAACGTCCGTCGATATAACGAGCCTCCTGGCGTCATTCATCAAAGAAGTCCATGCCCGTTGGGACTTTAAGCGTCTCCAGGCAGAAGTCTTGCATTCTCAGCGCCGCCGTCGACTAGTCTACTCGGCTTTGATCAAAGGTAAGATCACAGCTTGGGATTATACGCCTATGTCGGATGGAAGTCAGATGTATATCCGCAATGTTGGACAGAGTGCCCTGGGCAATGTTGAGTATTTGAACCGCTGGCCCAGAGTGGGCAGGGAGGTGCAGTATCGTCCATAAAGACTGCATACAAAGGAAAACAAGCTAAAACCCGCTTGCTTTTCTACAAATGACTGCGGGTACGGCAACTGGAATGACGACGGGCCGATTTTGTCCAAGGCGAATACTGGGAGGAGTTTAGGATGGCGAGTAACGGGCGCATCAAAAAATATTTCAAACCATCAAAAAAACACGGAAAACTTAAGAAAATGATTCAACACGCAATTTGAGGAGGAAAAAACCCCCGAGAGATCGGGGAAAACAACAAGGTTACACAAAAAAATGGGAAAAAATATTATCAATTAATACACTCAAAAGGGTCATCCTCCATCTCTCATCTCGTCCTGGGTTTCTAGAAGCGCAGAGAGGTGATGGTGTCTGGCGGGGTTGCTCTTTATCCTCTAGTCCTGTCATCTAAAGCACTATGATTAGTTGGATGAAATGAAGGAGATTGTTATTTAGAGCCTTTTCCCCCCTTACATTTTCGTTCGTCTCACTTCAACATATTGATATACGTAAAGATGGGGCGTCAAACAACGTTATGGGCTGGCATTACCGTAGACAAGAGCGCGTGATATTGAACAACAGTTCAAAATCCCCATTTCAGTCCACATGTAGCTTGCTACCCCAGTAGAGGCATGGATATCGTCGTGGGATTGGCTACTATTACTACAGTGCGTTACGTTCCGAGATCTGAGCGCCGTGCTTCTGGTAATTTACAGTTATCTCAGATTGAAAAGGCAACCTTGAGCTCAATACTGGGAAGCGTATGCGGTTCAGGTCATGCTTTTGGTCTGGATAGAAACCAGTGATTTTACGTGACGATAGTCGTGTTCTCATCTGCTCAATGTCTTTGGCTAACTTTCCAGAACCAGGATTCGAGAGTAATCGCGGGAACCGAGATCATAGTACGGGTTCATCAAAGTGATCATACCACCCGACCAGCTGCTCGACCTCACTCGAAAGGCCAGAGTCGGGAGCATCGAAAGTTTTTTCGGGACGTACGGAGCAGTTGCCATCGATGTTTTGACCATCATACGCAGCCTCACACGCAGGGTAAGTGTGTCTGCGCAATGCATCTGAGAAGCAAACGGGATCTTCGCTGGAGGTATTGATCCTGCACATCGATTAGGGGAATACTAGTGACGCTAGGGACCCTGGGAACAGACAGGATTGCTCATATGGTAACAGCTCAGATACAATTCTTGGGTGTACTTGCGAGGTCTGATGCAGACCAGCGCAAGAAAAAGAAGAGATATTCTCGTCCTCTAGCCATGCTTCAAAGAAGAAAACCACCGTTAAACTCCCAGATGCCCTCGATATTTTCGAAAAGGGGGTTCTGGTCCTCCAGGGCACACCGCGTTGTTATCACGTCTATTGGCGCTAAGATCAGGGACTTCTATCCCCAATTAACCAGCTACGCCGCATGAGATCTGGGGCTAAAGAATATGAACAACCAAATTCTGGTGCATCGACAGGCTGTGCCAACTAAGGTATCTAGCAGATGGTCGGGACCTAGCTGGTAGGGCGGCAATGGACTCATTCTTGTTACACCAGAAGCCATTATGCTTGTAAAGACCGCCTACCATCAGTTTGTTTGATTAGCTTGCCTGAGGATGCCAGTTTTAACTGTGTGGAATCAGGAGCGTTTAGCGCTGAGAAGGTGTGTTGGACATTCGAAGGAAGGCCGGTCAACCATGGAGCAACCGATATATCGACTAACTAACCATCACTCCTCCGGCATGCAGGGGTATACCAGGATCCTCAAAGTATTATCACACTCGCTTCGACGTGACACGGAGCCAGCGCCGCCATCGACGCCTTAGGTAAGCAAGGCCTTCGGACCCCGCCGACGTCCGTCGGGTCGGCTCAGCTCAGAGTAGCCGACGACACCGTCCGTATATAAGGAGTCGTTCACCCGTGGAATCCATCAACTTACGCCAGATCTCCTCAGGGTTTGGGCGCTGTTGGCGGCCGACCTGGTTTGGAGAAACTCCTAGTCGTTTCATGTCGAGAGATTTGATTACCTATATTGTCACTTATTCGCCCTCATTTTTCAAAGTATATCAGAGAACTCCGTATTGAATTTACAGCCTTTTTATCTATATTTGGATAGCTTTGGATATTTTCTTGATGCGGAGCGCTCTTCTCTAAGGGCGGGACATGGCACCGAACGTCATGACGAATGGATCCAACGGTTCGAAGAGTAACTACTCACGGACCATCTATTATGGGACATTCCTCCATCTTCCGCGCGTACCTGATATTTCAGCAACGCCAAACTCACCACCAAAGTATCGATTAATTGTCAATCATGGTGCTTTGTGGGTAAATGATGCGACTGGGAGAATCGAGGGATTCAACTGGCATTTGGAAAACGAAAGTGGATTGTACGACTTTATTGAGAGAAATGGTTGGAAATCAGATGAAAAGGGTCATCCAACAAAGTCTGTGCGGATAGTGAGGCAGAGACACGAGAAGAACGGGTTCTTTTTCCCCGGGTTTGTGGGTATGTTGGCTCTTCATTCCGTAGATAATCTAAATGAACGGAGAAAAGTTATGGCTTCCACCAAGTTTTCCACCTGTATAAGCATCAGTATCTGATAGGGAGATTTTGAACCTGCGGCCAGTCATGCAACCGTTATGAATTGGGCTGACATCTGAGATAGACACTCATATCCATGCACCGCAATACCCAAACTCTGGCATTTTTGGCTCGTCAACGCTCCTGGACTGGTTAGAAACCTATACGTTTCCGCTGGAATCATCGTTTGGAAACAAAGAAACCCCCGAGCTTGCTCCTCAAAGTGCACACACCGCATATAACCGTGTAGTATCCCGCACCTTGTCCCATGGCACCACCTGTGCCGCCTACTTCGCTACAATCCATGTCCCCGCTACTAACCTGCTAGCGGACATATGCCGTTCTCGCGGCCAAAGAGCATTTATAGGCCGTGTTTGCATGGACAACACCGAAACATGTCGTGATTACTACCGGGACGAATCTTCCGAGCAATCCATCACTGCCACGAAGGCCTCAATCGCCCATATCCGTTCTATAGATCCAGATGGTCACCTCGTCCGGCCAGTCATCACACCTCGCTTTGCGCTCTCCTGCACTGCCCAAGCCCTCTCCGAACTCGGTGCACTCGCTGCGTCAACTTCGCCGCCAACCTATATCCAAACCCACATCTCTGAAAACAAGGACGAGATCCAACGCGTCCTATCCCAATTCCCGGACTGCAGCAGCTACGCAGAGGTATACGACAAAGCCGCATTGCTCACCCCGCACACCATTCTCGCGCACGGTATTCATCTAACCAAGGCTGAGCGGGATTTAATTCGTTCCCGCGGTTCGTCAATATCCCACTGCCCTGCGTCAAACTCGGCCATTGGCTCTGGATTATGCCCTGTCCGGACGCTCCTGGACGACGGCATACCTGTGGGTCTGGGAACGGATGTAAGTGGAGGTTATAGCCCGAGTATACTTGAGGCGGCGAGGCAGGCATGCCTGGTGTCAAGGCTGCTTTCATTCCAAAACGGAAATTCTGGAGAGAAAACATCAAATACCAGTGGGCGGGAGAAATTGAGTGTTGAAGAGGTGCTCTATTTGGCGACGCGTGGTGGGGCTAAAGCAGTTAGGATGGAGGACGATATTGGTGGGTTTGAGGTGGGCATGTTGTGGGATGCGCAGATGATCGAGTTGGGTGCGATCGTGGGAGAGGACGACGATGGTGATGAAGGTAAAGGCAGCGTGGATCTTTTTGGATGGGAGAATTGGGAAGAGAAGCTTGCGAAGTGGATGTGGTCTGGTGACGATAGAAATGTCAAGGCCGTGTGGGTGGGAGGACAGCTGGTCCATGGGAATATATCCGACAGATGTACCCCATAAGACCCAGCTTTTTCGGGTTATTTGCTTGGAAACCATCCCTGACACATTGAGTAGAGGATTTCTGGTTGATTTGATAATTATTTTCGGGTACTCTGTCATTGCGAATAGACTGCACCATACACGAGTATGCTATTAGATAATAGTGGCTATCGTTATAGTTAGAGCACAATAACTCCTTCATGTAATTGACTATAGCCATATATATGTGTCAACTAATTCCCGAACAAATCAAGTTGCGTAAACTAAAAGGTCTCTGCTTGACGCTGTAAGCGATTTCGGCAAGAAACGACAAGCCCAGACGTTCAAACGTCTGTTGGGGGGGGGACACTTAGGCGTACGTCCATCAACCAGTCTCCTCCTTCATCCCCAGAGACATACGTAAACCATTATTATCCATCTGCAAGGTTTGCTCTGAGAATATCTGGCTTTCTGTGGGAAACATTTTCGGATCCCAGCCTTTGTTTCTGCTCGGTCGTACAACAGAGTCCATTTCTCGCCATTATGCAAGAAAGGCAGTTGCGAGAACCCAAAAAAAGAAAAAATATTTTCCCGACGTTTTGAAATGAGCCTGGAAACATACATGCATCAATCGCCGGAAACTGTGGTCGGCGTCACCCGGCACGGGTATGAAAGAGTGCCAGTTCTGATTAAAATGTGACAACTGCGTCGGTCGCGCAAGCCACCGCGACGATGCGCAGCCGCCGAGTCCGGCTGAGAAATTCCGCAACCTTCGAGGTCTTATATAGAGCTACTATCCTTTCCCCCCTCTTCCCCCCGGAACCCCTCGACTTTAGCACTGAACCGACACGCATCGTGTTTCTCGCAGAAAGGGCTGGCTGGGCGGAATAACCCCTGCCAAGACTCTTGGCATTGGTGATTTCAGGAGCCGGAATTGCCTGAAGGAAAAGGGAGTGGACGAGGAAAAGGAAAAAAAAAAAAAAAAAAAAAAAAAAAAGAAGGAAAAAATTTGAGGAAAAATAAGGACAGAGTTCAACTCTCAGAGACGCCGGCGTCTTCGACGAAATCAAACCTTGACCCCGAAATATGGCAACGAAATTCAAAATACTCCCTGACAACCTAGAGTCGACTCTTCACCGAGAGTGGGTGGGAAATAAATCATGCCCAGAGTCAAATGATATTCACAAGAATTGGGAGTGGATATGCGTCTCATAATATGAAGACAAGGAGTACATATCCGCGAAGATACAATGATGAGCACATGAAAAAATTCTTAAAAGGTCAGTATCAATTTCTTTTTTGGGTCACAAAAGTCACTCTATCATGAACAAGGAAACACAACACAACCAGGGTATTAATATCATATTTTTTCACACAGCAATCATCATGTGTTGAAACATTTTGTATTTCCAGACATTACAGGGTCATTTTTTTTTTCTTTTGGTGGGATGTTGTTTATTTGTACACGTGACAGAAGGGATAAGAAGGAAAAGATGGAGTCCAAGAGGTGCTTGTGGATGCAGTTGATGTCATTATGTGCGAAGGTATCCCAGGAGTATCAAAGGAATCGAGGTACGCATGC